AGACGAACAGGCCGCCATGAATCAGGTAAAACAATATGTTACATGCAATTTGATTGGTCCAATCGCTTGTAGTTAACCAATCGCTGGGCCGTTTATAATCGAGCTAAGACTTCCGCAACAAATAATGCCTTCAGTGATCTGATTAGTTGAAGCTTTCATACACGTCCAATCGCAGGGCTGTTTACAAACGGAAAACGGAGAGACTGTTCGGGAGAGCTCGTGAAAACTCGACGATAAGGTACCTGACCGCCCCTAAAATTTTCTCAACGGATTTAGACGATTCACAAAAATGATCAATTTAAGAAATAAAACGGCGGATTTCCGCGGATCCGCGGAAAATTGCCATGTATGGAATACGCAACGCACTTGCCACCCCGAAAAAACCCACAAGACTGGTTATTTCCTATTTTGCTCCATTTTAAATGCTTGCTGCCATCTCAGCATTGGATTGACGTTCAAGCTTTTTAACAGCCAAGCAGAATGCAGCCGAAACACTTCATGTGACGGTCCCGATTGGCTGGCTCACCTGGCTGCGACGGGTAGATGCAGGCCGTGCTGACCACCTTGGGAGGGGCGGAGCCCATGGGGATCTGAATGGAACTCTGCTGGGTGGGCGGGGCCTGCTGGAAGCGCTGCGGGGGCGGGGCTTGCGGCATGGGCGGGGCCTGCTGGTATTGCTTTGGGAGCGGGCCTTGCTGGCCGGCGGTGGGGGCCGGCTGACCAAATTGACTAGGGGAGGAAGCAAGAGATGATGCGTTCAATGACCACACCGGCAACTGGCAGCATGACCGCGATGGTGACGATGTCAGCTTAGTTGACGATGAAGGTGAGTAGCGTAGCCAAGAAGAAAAAGCAGGAGAGAATTCAACACCTAATTGATATCGATTTCATACCAAGGAGTGATTCAAACGTATACTTGTGCCTTGACTTTAATTTGCTCCATGTCCAAGCTCGTCAATGAATTTGTTCCTATGCCACCTCAATCTTTCCCATTGAAATGAAATAAAGTGCACTTAATCCATTCCAGCACCCCAAAACATTGCATTTTCTTGCAATAAAGAAAAGTGTTGGGTCAAAATATAATACGGTTAACCCCTGCCCGTCACAGAGGATTGTGCGTTAACTTATTGTTACATTTTAAAGTTCATTTTTCTCTCTGTCGAGTCGACTAATTTTGGCAACAGCTCGTACCTTGAAAAACTCAAAGTCAAGGCAGCACTGTACTGTATCTCTCCATGGAAAGAAACGGCGCCCCTGAGTTTGCCATTCAGTGGAGTGGGCGTGGCTCACACGACACGCCTGCCACAATGTGTTTAAGCTTTGCCGCGTAACGCTGAGGAAGCTCAATGAGAAGACGAGGGACGAGCGATGGCGCCGCGATGGAGCGGCTGCTGCGATCGGCAGCGGTACCTGGACACGGCCGCCTTGTGTTGGACGCCGGCGGCCGACTGACGCTTCAGGCTGCAAGTGTAAGATATAAAACACATGAGCAAACGTCGCTATTTGACACGCGTGACGTTTTCGGAGCCTCGGCTACAAAAAGAATCAGAGGAAGACGGGCGTTCAACGTCAGACTCGTGAAGGGGAAGCGAGACAGCGAGAATTTCAATAAAAAACAAAACAAAACAGAGCGGCACCCAAATATGACTCGATTCCAGTCTGTTTCATTCTCCAAAAGGGACCTTTCCATCAACGCTTTTGTCGGCGGACGGAAAATGTGCCAGTTGAAACGCAACATCACTATTTGTTGTCGTCATCATCATCCATGCAAGAAATGAGTCTGTATCATTCACAAAAGGGACAAGAAAATCTGGCTGTTCAAAACGCTTTGCCGGAGGCTAACTTTCTCAGCTGCACTTGAACGCAACACATTCAGCCCAGAAAAACAGCAAGACTTCGAAGACCCTGAAAATGTTCACTCGCAACAGCCGTTCGATCGCAAAAGGCAGGCGGCTAGCAGGAGAAACCTATGCCGCCATCCAAGCAACGTCTTTGTCGTGGCCGCCCCTGCTTATTTCAGCGAGACAATGCCCAACTACATTCCGCACAACAGCGTTGCTTCGGAGCTAAAGACTCTGGGTCCTAGACTGGCCTGCCTGCAGTCCAGACCTGTCTACCATTGAAAAGGTGGCAGGTTATGACAACGGAGACCCCCCGCCCCCCCCCAAATGAAAGTTGCGTTATTTTTGAGAATACGACAAGAATAAAAAGTTGGATATTCCAAACTACAACGGCAACAGACAAAAATCCACAAAGCAGTGTCCGAGTATTTAGTGGAATCTTCACATGTATGCATTTTTAAACTTCATGCAAATTGGCAAAATAAAAGGTACAATACATGCATGTGAGGTGCAGTTATTATTTTAGTCCAATTGGGGTCACTATTTACAAATTCTACACGACAGTAACTCTGACTGTGAATTTCCTTTCAAAGGCGGGTCCGGTCTGACGAGTGGCGCGGAAGTGAGGGGACCTGCTATTGGCCAGGAAACTGGCCAATAGCAGAAGCTAGCGGCAGGTTGTGCGAGCAAAGTGCTTTTGTTCATAAAGCGACTGAAAACGCACCAACAGCTGTTTCCATCCTCCCTCAGTCTATGTTGCTTACATTCGAGAATCAAGTTGAAAAGATGAAAGAACTTCATATTACGAGAATAAAATGGTTGATTTTCATGAGATCAAAAGTGCACGTTTAGTTGGGACAAAAAGCTGCATCGTTTTGACATGAAATCTGTGGAACACAATTTATAATCTTGAGGTACGTACACGACGATTTCCTCTCAAAATCGGACTTCATTTTAGCAAGATTGCAACAAAGTGCAATTTTGGTTTCTTTTCAGGGCGACAATGACACACACAAACACACACACGCACAAACACACACACAAAGAAAAAGAACTTTGGTTGTGTTTGTCACGGGTTGGTGGGAAGCGGTGAGGTTGGAGGTGAGGTGAGGCGGGCAGGGCGGGGCGGGGCGGGGCGAGACTTCCTGTGCAGGTTCTGAGGTGCGAGTGACGCAGCCTACCTGCTCTTCCTCAACACCTCATCATCCTCTTCCTCATCCGCCATGACTGTGAGACACAAACAAAACAGATGTTGTTGGGTTAGCGTTGTAGATCGCGGGCCACATACGAGACAGCCCACTGAGCATTTGCACGATAAAGATTCCCGGAAGAATCGAAGCATGCGACGGCATCCGCCTTCTTACCGTGTTGCGTTTCCGTTCCCATCATGTGGGCGAGCGTCTGGAAGGTTTTGGACTGTGCGCTGGCTTGGCGGCGGTGCCCTTCCTCGTCCTCGTCCTCCCTTTCCTCCGCGCTCTGGACCGCCTGGTAGACTGGCGAGGCGCTGTCCACCAGACGCTCTGGATGTGGACTGGAAGCGGACATGGGCCAGACCCCGGCGCCGCCGCCGCCACCACCACCACCAACACACCCACCCACCCACACAAGAGCCCCACAACAAGTGAGCTCAGAGAACAGGGAGCATTCTTTTGGGGGGTGGGGCTTTTGTTGGTCACCAATGCAAATAAAAGAGTGGCTTCGGAATGAATGAAAAATCATTAAGAAAAGATGAAATGTTGGGGGGGGGGCACACAAGGAAGTGAAAAAAACACTTGTGCTCAGAGAAAAAGGAGCTCAGAACATTTGCTTTGATGACGAGTCTTTCTTGAAATCCGAGAGATGGACGCAGACGACTGTGAGGAGACGAGTGCAAAGGTTTCACAAGATGATTTTTATCGGCTCGGAGCGGACAAAACAGCAAAGTTTTCATGCCACGCACGCCCCAATGCACCACGCAATGCTTCGTCCTTCACTTATTTCCGTCGTACTGTCGAAACACGGCGCGGACATTTTCATTTGGTGATTCCGGGCTTCGATCGAATGGAAGAAAGCCAAAGTCCCCCGAGAAATCACCAGGCGGCTTCACAAAGCCAACCGTGACAACGTTTCCATCCCGAAGCATGTGTGATGTCACCATCAACGACAACAAAACAACTTCCTCGCAAGAAGGAGAAGAGACAAGGGAAGGGAACGGAAGAATGCTCGCTCTTCCTACAACACAATCTAGTACCGAACAATTTTTGGGGATGACAATACGCTTATTCACACGTCACATCATGTCAGAAGAAGGAGGCCGAAACCGAGCGAGGGGGGTCTCACCCGACGTCGTGTCCCTTGGTCATGGTCTGCCCGGCGATGGCGTCCATGATGGAGTCCTGCGAGTACATGCTGATGGGCGTGTTGTACTGGGCGTGGATGATGGTGGCCTTGCCCCCCGGGCCCGTCACTTCGATGGCCTTGCGGGTGGCCGCGACGCTTTCCTTCACAAGCACGCCGGCGCTGAGAGGCGAGGACGGCGCACGGGTGAAGGCGTTTTCGATTGCGTGACAAAGGCATTCACGGGGGACGCTTCATTAGGGACACTACAGAACCACACACGACGCGAGGGCTCCATCTGCATGTGGGACATCATTCAGGATCACCTCTCACATATGCAGTTGAATGCACTTGCACGTTACTTAAATACTCTCGCTCCCCCTGACATGCAAGTTGGCAGCAAAATTGTTGTCGGTTGCGTTTCGCCATTTCACTAGACTGTGTGAGAGTGTTCCTGGCGGGAGTGTGAGAGCATTTGTTTTGCGAGAGCGTTTCAGCAGTGTAACCGAATAACTTTTCAGTAGTGCATGTAAATGGTTTTTATCAACGCATGAGAGGATTCCAGTTGCCCGTTGAGTATGAGAGAGCGTGTGAGAGGTAATTGTGAATTTTGTCCAAGTCGTGCCCTCACGAGCACAGAGTGACTAACCCAGCCTCCGAGGTCAACACGCTCCGGCCAATCCAACGCCACGGCGAGCACCGCGTGACCTTTGCCGTCACGCCAAGCGTCAGACAAGTCTGCGTCAAACGTCAACACAACACAACACAGCAAACCAGAGCGTCGTTTCGTCAGCCGCACACACGCAACGGCTCATTTCGGTTGACGGGCGCACGCGCACCAAAGGCGTTTGTATCGTTTTGAATGTCAACCTGGCCTTTAAAGAGCAAATGCAAATAAATGAATAAATAATAAGACAACTTATGAGATGCTGACTGATCGTGTCCTGTCACTCTAGTCTAAGCTAAGTTTAGCAAACTCGTTTCCTCTTGGTGGTTCTTTTTGGCAGTACGCTGTCAAGCCACAAAAAGGCAAAGACAAAGCAAAATACAAAAAATATGGACAATTTTAGGTTGAACAATGTCTTGAAATAATCAAGCAATTACACTGGATGAGACATTTTGGTGCCAAGAAAGGGATCAGGTGTTTTGGTGTTGCTAAAAAAAAAAAAAAAAAGACGTTTCTAATTGGGTCTAGTTATTAAGATTGCATTCTTGTTGAAAAAAGTGATACTGTAATAATATGAAAGTTAAAGCTACAACTTTAAGTTGTTGCTTTTTTTGGGGGGGGCTATTGTTATCAAAATAGTTGTCGACTAATTTGCTAACCGATTAGTTGTCAATCACCGTTGACACTCCATTCTGAACTCAAAATGCCATTTATGAAATGGATTTCATTTATTTGACCAGAAAAACAAAAAAAAAAACAACAACAAAAAAGCCAGCGGCTAGG